TAAACCTCTCTAATGATCCGGTAAAGAGGGAAGGTTTGGCGTGAAAGTATTTATTTTATTTATTTTTGATTACAGCTTGATTCCACACTGTATTTTTGGTACAAGTATGAAATTTCCAGCATATGATATCGGTAGCCCAAATTTTGCAGGCCGACCAAAGATATCAGGTGTGCGTCTGTAGGGGATCGAAGCTCGGACCATGTACATGGTCGGCGAGAGTCCTAACCACTGTGCAATGTATGTAGTGAGGATTCATTTCATTTCATAAGGCTTTAAACTGCAAAGCCAACACTATAGTCATGATTAAATCATCTTTAAAAAATTCAAATTCACTTGCCTTTATTCTCACTGACGCGTATTACTGAATGTTTTGAATTCGGAATTACTCTACTGTAGGGCTGAAATTAGTTACACACATTGGGCAGCTGTTTAGGATTTTACTGGAACAACTGAATAGTCAATTTGCCAGAGTTCTGATTAATTTATGAAGACCATTACATCAGTGAAATGTATAACAAGGGGAGGCGCAACTACTTGTTTCTAAATTCTCAGAGATAAAAACGCTTGATGCATATAATGCGATTTATCATAGATGTACTAGTGGAATTAACTCGGACTGCTGACTTCAGCGACTTAGGGATTGACTTGTTACCAGGGCCTTGGAATATGCCGATGACACAGTCCTCCTGGGTGAAGGTAGTGATAAAATGTGGAGTCTTCTGGACGCCTTTAGCTGCAATCTTCGAATATTTGGCATACGATTCTCTCTTCCTGTCAAATGTAATATGATGCTACACCAATGACTGGACTACACTGACTCCTAGCTTAGAAATAGGGAGTGAAGTGGTTTGTGGAGCACGTTGACCGCTTCACTTATTTGGGAAGTAGCATCAGCCAACGTCAACGGGTTGATCGCTGGCGATATCTCACCACGGATACAGAGGGTTGGTTTCGCAAATTCCAGCTTACTCCGTCTCTGGTTTAATAGACATGATATCCGACTGTCTGTAGACTAAAGGGCGGGTGTACTGCTCAGCACCAGTTCGCTTTGTCCTCCTTTATGGCTGTGTGACCTGGTCATTGAGAGTGGAAGACATGAAAAGGCTGGCTAGTTTTCTTTGATCATAGGTGCCTGCGTTCTATCTCCCGTGTGAAGTGGTATAATAGGGTGAACATTATTGAGGTTAGGCGTCGAGTGCTAGGTAAGGAAAGGAAATCAATCGATGGGCTGTGAAATTACATCGACTGAGATGGTTAGGACATGTATTACGTATGCCTGACCATTGCCTTCATCGGGATTGGTAAGGTTGGAAAATAGTTAACTAGTGGTGGTCAAATCAAAACATGGCCTCATCTGTCAATGAAATCCACAACAGCTAGGGTAAGCCATTTAGGGTGATGAAGACTTCCTGGTTAGTATTCCCAGTAAAAACCAAAGGCTGAAGACAATTGATGTGATATGGTTCAAAATTGTTCTCAATGGTGGAAATGTATTCACTCTTTTCCTGATTTTTCATATCCAATAAAATTCTATTGTTCTTCCATTTAAATATTCTTTTTGCCTCACACTTCTGTATATTATCTCTCTTTACTCACTTCTCTTGCTTTGTGTGCTACATGAAGTGTAGCAACTCGAATAGCTGCACTTCTGTTCAAAGTTCTATGCTGAAACCAATCAGTTATACACTAAGTTGAATAAGCCAAGTAGGAACTTTGAAAATGTTCTCATCCATATGAAATACTACCATAAAAAAATCTGCAAATCTGCATACCTTCTTTCAGTGTCGCTAGACAAATTCTACAGCGAAAAACGACTAATTCACTAACTAACTGATTACATATTTTACAGTTGTAAGAAATGCTCATTTACTCACGGTTATTCGATAATTTGTTCATTTGAGTTCACTATAAGACATGTAATATAAAGCCTAGATTCGTTTTATTATAGGAATAATACGTTTAAAAAAAGCCATCAAACAAATAAAAAAGTAGTAAACCCCACAGCGTAAAAATAAGTAAAACCGCTGCTGCTTCTGCCGCTGAAAATTCGAAGCTCTGTGTTCCACTGGGAACAAGAAGTAATGAAGTAAAAGAAATAGAACAATGTTTTTTTTGTAATTGAAACCATACTTGTTAATTAAGTATCAAAAATGGATCAGAATCTGTCAATCATTTACGCACTATCTAACCACTAATCTGTTCGGCAGAGTTAAACTATCATAACCAAACTAAAGTGATGTTGAACAACCAATCAGAATTCAGATGCAAGAAAAAACGTTAAAATTGTTTTTAAAAAAAGTATTAAAAACGTTAGAAAATTGTTATTAAACTATGCAATGTTCTCTTATATGTTGCAAAAACGTCTCCTAGTTTCTCCAAGGATGATCGGCAGAGAAACCATACCATTCTCGATACATGTGTTCATCGATGTGGCTAAAATCTATGGTATTTTGCAATCCTCTGACATTCCTGATTCTTTTCTTCAATCTTCCCCAGAATCCTTCGATAGAGTGTAGTATGCGTGTCCGTGATGGGATCTACGAGGTCGGAGGAATAATTAACACGATAGTGGGTGTTACATAAGAGATGACAGTTGGTTATATATCCCCTCCATCCATCAGTATTTATGGTAATTCCTGGTAATACCAAGTGCTGAATGATTGGAATTAATGTTGTGCGCCACTTTTATTTCGTATCGTTTCAACGAAACCTCTGCGAAGTGCAGTGTCATAGATCCCTTCTCCTTCCCTGTTATGCTTCCTCCTAATAGGCACAATTTCATCGATGTGAACGACTACTCCTACTTCTTCAAGACAGCCAGTAATCCCTAGCAACTTCCATGACGCTATATCTCTACAGTGCTGATACCATTGGACCGTATAGACTGGGCTATATTTTGTATCAGTTGCCGCTGTCCTTACAGATTTTTGTGAAATCCAACAGTACATAAGGCGTCGGATATCCGTCAAAGACAGCTTAAACTTTGAGAAAAAAAGGCACCTAAGGAATAATTGAAATACTGCACTTACCCTCACGAACAAATTTTCTCTTGTGAAATGAACTATATGTATAACAGTATTTATCTCCAACTAGGTTGTATTGTTGCTCTAGCATCATAATATCTCCATAAACACAACTCTTAGTCACTCCAATTAATCCATTATTATTAACATAGTAATTATTGCTCCATCTCTGCAGAATTCGCTAACCAAATCTTTAAACCTAGGCATAATATCTGCTTGGAATGACTCCTTCGGAAGTGTCCGACAAATCTGATTGGTCCTTCAGTGTCAGCCATGAAAGACCTTATCTGTGGCTATGATACTTTCACTTCGCCATTTGTTCTTATTTTACACGTGTTACCGTGATGTAAATCAATTCTCTCACCTGGTTGTACGCATATATAATCCAGTCTTACATGGAGTAGTTAGTTTCAACACTGTTGATTGTAGAAGATATAAATCTTTGAGTCGAAACGACTTTATGAAGTTTCTTCAAAATGTTTTAAATTTACTCTCTCTCTCTCTCTCTCGTAAACTACGTGTTCAGAGGTAATAAATATTAAGCAAATCTTACGTGTTAACTCTTATTATATGAAACACACAGTTTTTGCTTAAGACAAGTAGTGAATCTCTTAAGCTCCTTGCTGTTATTATTATTATTATTGTTATTATTATAAGAGTATTAGTACTATAATTACCTCTATCGATTTCTGCTAACAGGCTTTTTTTCTCTCTATACAACACTTTCAAAATGTGAAGTGTGTTGTGTGTCTGTCATAAGGATAATAAGTGGTGCGTATGTGTGTGTGTATGTGTGCCCATTAAATCAAACTTGAATTTTTATTTACACTATTCCGTTTTGGTTTTGTTAAAGTCAGCTGAAGGGATCAGCTGTTTCAATGAATGTGTACTGTTTTCAATGAATGGAAGTCAATATTGATCCATATATATATATATATATATATAATATATATTTGTCCACTGTAGTATCTAATTATTCCTTAAACTGGACGTCTCTTCTGATGTAATGTTAATTTTTTGATTGGCCACCGACTAGTGTCATTCATCTGGTCCTTTGTTTGTTGCTGGCTGAATTCTACCAGTCAAGTTTTCAATGTGACAGCCATGCTAGATGTTTCTACATCACGGTGAACTCTAAAGTATCGATACTAGATGTTTGGAGGCAGTTGGCCACAGGAAGGCTTGTCTGAACTAGGTTTCATGCTAGTTGCCACTCACCACCAGTCAGCAAGGCGTATCTGAAATCTTGAAACAACTGATGTCCCACCTGAGATTCGAACCCGTCTCACTTAATGCTGCAGTCAGAGACTTTACCACTCAGCTGTTCCAACTAACCAACTTCCAGCCATCTAATACCAACAATTCAAAGTGCACTGCGTGATGGCGAGCCACCTAGAATGGTGGCCATATTGTAAACGTGACTGATAGAACTCAGTCTACAGTAAACAGGTGACTAGACGCATGACGGTAGTTAGTAGTCCAATCGAATATAGTCTTACAGGAGGTCAGTCGCGAGTCCGAATAGCCCAGTGGTGCATCTGTGACTGCAGCAGCACTGGGTGACACGGGTCCAAATCTCAGAAAGGACATCGGTTCTTTCAAGATAGCAGATACGCGTTACTGACTGGTGATTGCCAACAAGCACATGAGACCTAAGTCAGGCCGGGCTTCCTACCGATTGCCTTCAACCATCCTAGTAGTGTTGATTTGTCGATAAATGTTAACTTGGCAACTTACTGACGCAAACACCTTAAGTCAATGGGCGTCTTAGGTTCCACAACAACACATTCAAGTAAGATTTTTCACTGTACTTCATATTAATTACAAAGTAAGGCAGGGTTTTATCGTCTTATTTTCTTTTCAATATTATCACTATTAAGCCTTAAATCAATACATGCATACATACATACATACACACATATACATAAATATACGTGAAATTCATTTTGAGTGATGTGACTTGTATTTTTTTTGTAGGATGGTTGGCTTTCAGGTTGGTTTGGTCGTTTAAAGAAAAATGGAGCCAAGAATATCCACTTGCCAGATGATTCTAAGCCTTCTGTGAGTGTAGTAGTTATGGTGTTCCTAATAAGATTGGGCTATCCTATAATCATGTAATCATACCATTAATACTAATCAATCGTCACAATAATAATAATACTAATAATAGTGTAATACTTATTATTATTATTATCACCGCCCACATATATGATTTACGCTAGTGTCTGATTTGAGTTTCATATTTATTTATGTATTTATTTATTTTTGTACCTCATCTTGTTGGTGATGATTTCATCTTCCGAATAGTTTGCTTCATTAAGTTTGACATGTATGCATGTATACACACCTGCCTTGGAGTAGTTCTTCTTATAGTTGACTGCCTTTTGGTGTGTGTATATGCGTGTGTGAGTGTGTGTGTGTGTGTGGTTTCCATTGCTTCAATTCCATTGTTTACGCATAACAATCATTACAAGGGTGGGTGTGTGTTTAACTACTTCTACCACTACAAAACACTGCGCTACACTTTGTGTATTTGTCTACAGATTTCTTACAAACAGCTGTTTACATAAAATTAAGGAGTAATTTGGTGTGTTGTGGAAAGTCATCATCTTTTTCTTCTTCGTCTTTTAACCTGTGGAGTACAAAATATGAGAGAATCGACAGGGAAGTAAAGCAATCAAGCGAGGCAGTAGATTTGTATTGTTCTTTTCTTTTTTGTCGTTATGTTTAAGGATTTTCAGTGGCAAGCATTCTACCATTGAATCAACGATGTACACAAATTAGTGCCACCTAATGCTTTTTCCGTAATATAAATACAACTGTACAGCTCTAATAAAAATGTGTCGTTATTGAAAACCTATATATATATATATATATATATATATATATATATATATATATATATATATATATATATATATATATATCACGATGACTTGCTCAAAAATTGTCTGAAGTTTTTGAGGCGGTTGTGTTCACTGAGCTGGATAGTTAATCTGCGAAGCTTTCACCGCCCTACTAGGCGACATCTTCAGCGCATACTTCAATTAGATGAAGTGAGCTTTTAGATTTCTCCACGAGTTTATCAGTCATCTCTCCTGGTGGGTGACCTTGGGTGTGATTGGTTGTTTTTGTGTGTTTTCACACCTTCTAGGTTACTTGTATTGGAACTGATTGTTTCTTTGACTTGAAGTATGTTGTGTGTTTCAACGGCCAAATATACAAAGAAGTCAAAGGAACATCCATGGGATCGCCAATATCAGGTTTGATTGCAGAAGCAGTGATGCAAAGACTCGAAAACATAATTCTACCAAAGATCATACCGAAGATATGAATACGATAAGTCGACGACACATTTGTAATAATCAAAAGAAACGAGTTAAATAAAACTCACAACTTAATAAACAACATCTTCAACGACATCAAATTCACAAGAGAGGAGGAATCCGAGAACCAAATCCCATTTTTGGACGTCTTAGTCAAGCGAACAAACACAGGGGAATTAGAAACTCAAGTTTATAGAAGATCAACTCACACAGACCAAATACTGAATTACAACAGCAACAATCCAATAACACACAAAAAGAATTGCATGCAAACACTATTCAAGAGGTCAAGGACTCATTGCGGCACTCTCACCTTAAGAAAAATATTTCATGGACGTCTTCCAAAAGAATGGATATCCACTGAATTTCATCAAAAGACATATACCCCTAAGCCAGCCTATCGAACTGAAAACCCCTAAATAAAGCACAAAGAAAATCGCCCTGCCATATATAAAGGATATCTCAGAAATCACTACAAGACTCTTCAAACCCTTACGAATTGACGTCGTAAACAAAACCAACAAAGTCACTTCACTCAATTCTCTGTCAACCGAAAGACTCAACAGAGAAGGAAGATAAAACCATCATCATCCACAAAATAAATTGTAACACCTGCGTGTATACACACCTGCCTTGGAGTAGTTCTTCTTATAATTGACTGCCTTTTTGGTGTGTGTGTGTGTGTGGTTTCCATTGCTTCAATTCCATTGTTTACGCATAACAATCATTACAAGGGTGGGTGTGTGTTTAACTACTTCTACCACTACAAAACACTGCGCTACACTTTGTGTATTTGTCTACAGATTTCTTACAAACAGCTGTTTTACATAAAATTAAAGAGTAATTTGGTGTGTTGTGGAAAGTCATCATCTTTTTCTTCTTCGTCTTTTAACCTGTGGAGTACAAAATATGAGAGAATCGACAGGGAAGTAAAGCAATCAAGCGAGGCAGTAGATTTGTATTGTTCTTTTCTTTTTTGTCGTCATGTCTAAGGATTTTCAGTGGTAAGCAAGACTCTTCAAACTCTTACGAATTGACGTCGTAAACAAAACCAACAAAGTCACTTCACTCAATTCTCTGTCAACCGAAAGACTCAACAGAGAAGGAAGATAAAACCATCATCATCCACAAAATAAATTGTAACACCTGCGAAAAACACTAAAATTGGCCACAGTGGACGTCCCCTTCGTCTTCGTATCCACGAACATAAGCTATCCGTGAAAAAACATGATATCCACTCTCTCATATCACTACACACAGACAACCACTGGCATCAATTCGATTGAGACAACCAGCTTTCAAATATTAGACGGAGGAAACAACAAGAATGCTAGAGAATTTTTCGAAGCTTGATTGGTATTCCAGTAAATCATCAATCAATAGACACATCGAGATAGACAAAATTTATCAACCGATAGGAAAGAAACTTCACGCGCAAAGGGTCAAAGTTCAAGCCAAAGAAACAATCAGTTCCAATACAAGTAACCTAGAAGGTGTGAAAACACAAAAACAACCAATCACACCCAAGGTCACCCACCAGGAGAGATGACTGATAAACTCGTGGAGAAATTTAAAGGCTCACTTCATCTAATTGAAGTATGCGCTGAAGATGTCGCCTAGTAGGGCGGTGAAAGCTTCGTAAATTAACTATCCAGCTCAGTGAACACAACCACCTCAAAATCATCCACCTGAGCTACAAATCTTCTCTATCATATTGTCTGAAGTGTCTAATAATCTCAGTTATGTATAGTTGTTTTCTTTCTTTTATCCGTTTAACACTCTCACTTGATGATTCAATATGGTTATTCCAATTATAATTGTTATTTTGTTTTCAAGAGAGTTTGTCTGTAGGGATTTGATTTGCTTCAAGTGTTTTCTTATTGCGGTTAGAGAAAACCGCTGAAAACAAGCTTGTAGGAGTACAACTAGACAACTAACTAGCTGTGTCTTTCTTTGTTTTGAGGCTCATTGACGACAGTAGGCCAGTCACTGCCAGGGTTCGAATCCAGTAGACCTTCCGTTTTTAGATACATGGTAGCCACTGGAACCCTCCCCCCCCGCCTATATGACTGACTCGATAGCACGCTAGCACATGAATTCTAACTTCTACCAATTCGTAATTCTAGCGTGAACTAGCACAGTCATTGTCAGTATTTGTTTGTTTTTTTAAATTTTGTTTTAACTAACTAATAATTAACAAAAAAAGGGAAATAAATCCATGTGAAAATAAGCGACAATAATAAGGTTTAGCGCAAAAACAACAACTGAGAAGTAGTGAGTCTTGTGTGTGTTTGTGTGTGTGTTTACTCATTGCGTCAACATTAGATGAATATGTGTGTATATATGTCTCTTTTATGTTGATAGATGTCGCCATCTGTAAGCGGCGTTATTTAGTAAGTGGATTGATTGCATTTTATTATCATTCTTCTGTTTCCTTACACATACCAATAATGTATTTTTGGTAGGGGGAGATGGGGAAGGGGTTAAAACTGCCAACCTACAGCAATAGGGGGTTTGGTTTATACTTCTGGTTTATCCGCCATCCTGAAGTATACAAGGTATAATGTTATTACCCGAAATAGATTTCTCATGGTTCTCGACTGTTGTGTAAAGGTGGATTATGTTACATAGTCGTCTAGAGACTGAAGTTATATGGAGCTAGAGATTCGAATCCAGCATCCATCAACTGAAAGTTGAACGCTTAAACCCCAATATGATCAACACAAATAACTGTATAACCCATAATCTAAACGAAAAAGTACAGTTTACATTATGTGTTTGCCTGTGTAGTGATCAGTGACTGAACTTTATAAAGACTATTTATAACTTATACCTAACATGATTAATTGGTCTTGTTTGTTCCAGGATTTCATCACGAACTGGCATCTATTAGAAGACCATTAGAAATCCTAGGAGTACTGCACGGTTGTTTCGTTCAGGTTTGGGACTCTTCACATCCAGAGCCCTCCGGTTACAAGGCGAGTTCGTAGATCATTAAGCCACTGGGACCCGATCCGATGGTCCATGAATTACAACTTCTTCGAATTCATGATATGGCGCGACCACCAACGAATGTCATCGCTGGCGAATATTTGTCCTTACACCCGACCTGCTCGAACCTCAGTAGGTCTGTACTGCTTAATAGTCTCAAACTAGACTGACACCATCAGCCTCAACGGGTTGATCTCTGACGAAATCTGAGCATGGATACAGAGGGCTAGTTCCGCATATGCCGATTTACGCCGCCTCTGGTGTAGGCGTGATATCTGGCTGGCTGTCGACCAAAGGGCGAGTATACTGCTCAGCAGTTCGCTCCGTCCTCCTTTATGGCTGTGAGACCTGGCCATTGAGTGTGGAAGACATGAAAAGATTAGCTGTCTTTAATCATAGGTGCCTGCGTTCTGTCTCCCTCGTGAAATGGTATAATAAGGTGAGCAATATTGAGGTTAGGCGTAGAGTGCTAGGTAGGTGGGAGGGGAAATCAATCGACGAGGCTGTGAGCCCACATCTACTGAGATGGTTAGGACACGTGTTACGTATGCGTAGTCATCGCCTTCCTCGACAGAGGGCAGTGTTAACAGACATAGGGTCAGGCTGTAAGGGAGCTAGTGGCGGTCAAACCGGACATGGCCTCATCAGTCAATGGAATCCAAATCAGTTAGTTTAAGTCAATCACGTAGGAAGGTGTAGACTTCTTGACTGGTTTGGCTTCTCGGGACGGTAAAAACCAATGTCTGGAGACAATCGTTGATATGGCTCAAACGTATCGTTGTCAATGGCTGGTGCAGATGCATCCACTCCCTTTGTGACTTATCATTTCCAATGAAACTGTTTTGTTCTTTGTTACTACTATTCGTTTTTCTCACACCTCTGTTTACTTTCTCTATATGCATTTGTTCTACTTTTCTCCTCTTGCTTTGTGTGCTACAAGGAGGGAGTGTGGCGATTTGAACTGCTGCACATATGTACAAAGTTCTATGTCAAAAACAGAGACGGAATGTCATCGCTGGCGAATATTAGTCCTCACACCCTACCTGTTATACCCCACTGGTCACGACATAATTTTCTACGAGCTCACCTTGTAATCAGAAGATTCTGGGTTCGAACCTCATTAGTGCGTACTGATGAAGAGTTCTAAACTAGGTCGACGAAACAGCTGTCCAGCACTCCCAGGTTTTCCAGTGGTTCTTTAACTCATGTCAATTCTTGATGAAATCCTGAAACCAATCAAATCCCTGCAAACCAACAAATTGGTCTTTTTTGTGTAAATTATTATGTCTTGTCATGGCTTTGTGTTGGAATTCTTAACATATTATTATATCATTTGAGCTTATTTCATACATGTATGTTCAATGCTTCAGATTGCTATTTGTTACTCCTGACTTTCTTTAATGCCTAATAATAATAATTTATATTTATAGATCGTATGGGATGATCGCCTCAAACAATGGATTGATGTCAATGATCCTGAAGGCAGTGAATCGAATAAAATTCCACCTCCCCCGCCAGCATCTTCATTTCTACCAAAACTGATCAAGATGAAATGCTCAAAACATCAAATTCTTCACAATTATTCCCTTCAACTCTGTCAAATTCTCCTCCTGCTGCATATTCTTCTTCTTCATCATCACGTCTTAGTAATCCTAGATCACGATATGTAAATATAATGGCAAATCAAACTGTTGATATGGGTGGAAATATTCTTCAACCTCCACTTCCACATACTGCACGTTTATAAAGCTGTAAAATTTCACCTCAAATATTATACAATTGACTTCTTCTTCTTCAGGTAGATAGACATATTTCTATAATTGTAAGTTGATAAGTCTCATCATAAAGTTTAACAAAGCTAGATAGCGGAATTAATTTTTTTTTAATCATTATTATTTGTTCCTTGGGTTCCAATAGGCACATCTCTAAAGCACTTTCTCCACTACCATCTTGTTTAGCTGACTCCGAAATTGCTTATAAACTTTCATTTTATCCTCACATGATCTCATCAGTGTCACCGTAGGATGCCTAACTTATCCCAAGATTCCTAATTGGGGTTCCACTCGAAAGCCTGCAGGTTGTAACTTCACTGGTAAGTGGTATGCTAGGGTGAGCAATATGCAGGTCAGACATCGATTGTGTGCTAGATAAGGGGGGGGGTCAGTCGACAAGGTTGTGAAGTTGCACCGATTGAGATGGTTAGAAGATGTGTTACATATGTCTAGGCTACGCCTTCCTCGACCGGCACTGTTAGCTGACGCAAGATCAGGTTGGAAAAGATCTAGTGGTGGTCACACTAAAATATAGCTTCATTAGTCTAAGAAATCCTAATCCCTACAAACCAACACTTAAAAATCCATAACAGTTAGTTTAAGCCAGCCGCGTAAAAGAAGGTGTAGACTGTGCGTGGTCGGGGCCCTCGGGATGGTAAAAACCAATGATGACTGGAGGCAATTGATGATATGGCTCAATATCGTCCTCAGTCGCTGGCGTAGATGCATTCCTTCTTTATGATTTATAATGTCCAATAAAATCTATTGTTCTTCGATATTACTATTCTTTTTGCCAAATATTTCTGTTTATTACCAGCCTCTGTATTTTAAATCTCTCTTCTCTTGCTTTGCGTGCTACATGAAGGGAGTGTGGCGACTCGAATTGCTGCACATCTGTGCAAAGTTCTATGTTGAAACCAGTCTGTCAGTGATATATATATATATATATATATATATATATATGGTGCGTCGGTGGCACAGCGGTTAGGACTCCCGCCGACCATGCACATGATCCGGGGTTCGACCCCCGTCGACGCACGCCTGATATCTATGGTCGGCCTGCAAAATTTGGGCTACCGATATCATATGCTGAAAATTTCATACTTGTACCAAAAATACTGTGTGGAATCAAGCTGTAATAAAAAATCTCCTCAGCATATGTCCTGTCATTCTACATTCGTCTTTACGTATATGTGTTGGGCGGTAGGTTCTTGGTTGATTTGTTGCGATAGTTTCATATTGCTTTTCCTTTCTGGTTCACCTTCCTGATCCTGATTAGTTTTGACGTCATCATTTGTGCTACCTGTAGTCAGTGGAAGAGGAAAGGGACAACATCTTTTAGATTCGCCCCACTGTTTGCTTATTGGTCCCTATTACTACTGGTTGGATTATCCCTTATCACCTCTCTGTTTTCTTGATTTGTTGACCTGAAGTCTCTGAATAAAGAAATTGGTGGTACGGAAGTAAATTCTTATAAGTGTTGTTAGTGTTCTAATTTGTAGCATCTCGAAATTAAGCATATGCCATTTGATTGAGGTTTTTTACTGTACAGTCTTAGACAAATTGATTTTGATTTAAATTGTGATGTTTTGGTCTTTGATTCATTCGGTTTCTTTCTCATAATATTGCCGGAGATTCATCCCTCTGTTCAATGTGTGTTGTTTTCTCTGAGCTGGTCGGTTCTACTGTCCTTCTAGACACAACATCTTTAGTGCTTACTTTAATATGATGCCTCTAGTGATAAGGAAGACGAAATTCATTGAAGTATGCGTATATCTTTTTTAAATCAATGAAATTCAGGTTATATTTTCCAATCCAGTTAGTTTTATCTTAACTGTATCGAATGGTATTTTATAATCTCTCATATACCTGAATGTGAGATCTTGTAATCAACATATGAGTGCTGAACGACGGACACCAAGTGGTTAAGGTGATGCTATCAAGCATGTCAGTTCAAATGTGATCAGTTGTTGAATGTTAAGATCACATGGGAGAATCTAAATTAACCGAAGCACCTCCAGTGTGTCAATTTAAAAGGGTAAAAACTTTCAAGTTTTTCTAAATATAGTGTGTTTAGTTTTTTTGTTTTGAAATGTAAAGCTTGCAGTTTGAACCATTGTCACTCATTCATGTGAATATCGGTAAGTATTGACTCACGTAGAGTCCTGTAAATGTTTCATTTTTTTATTAGATGGTTGGAGGCAATCGGCCACAGGAAGCCTGGAACACCTAGGTTTCGTGCTAGTGCCACCAGTCAGCAAGGCGTATCTGAGACCTTGAAGGAACTCATGTCCCTTTTTAGATTCGAATCCACGTTACCACTGAGCTATTCTGGCCTGCGATTGACCTCTTGTAGGACTGTATTGCATACTTTTTATTGGACACTAATTAGTAACTAGTGTAATGTGTTTAGTCCTTTCTTTGGTGCAGACTGAATTCTTTGAGTCAGGTTTGCAATGTGGCCACCATGCTGCTAGGTGGCTTACCATCACGGCGCGCTTTGAATTGTTGTTATTCGATGGTTGGTAGTTGGTTGGTTGGAATAGCTCAGTGGTAATGTGTCTGATTGCAGCACTGGTTGACGTGGGTTCGGAACTCATAAGGGACATCAGTTGTGTCAAGATTGCAGATACGCCTTGCTGACTGGTGGTGAGTGGCAACTAACACGAAACCTAGTTCAGGCAAGGCTTCCTGTGGCCCATTGCCTCTAACCATCTAATATCGACAATTTAAAGTGCACTGTGATGTAGAAACAGCTAGCACTACAAACTTGACTGGTAGAGTTCAATCTGCACCAAACAGAAGACTAGATACATGACACTAGTGACTAACTAGTGTTCAATCAAAAGTTTCATTTGTTAATTGCACAAACCGATATCCATTAGATAAACACTGTAAACAAACAAGTATCACTCTTCACTCCCAACTCGACAGTTGTTTGTTTACCATTGTTTGTAGATTGATTTTTTGTGAACATCCTGGAGGTGGTGGTGTGAAACTGACCGCCCCAGTGGTTAGTTAATTCCTTAGCCGTATTTCTGAATGGAAGAAAAAGGAAGGTACTAAGTAATCTCTCATACTTTCTGCAAGAATCATTTCTTCATGTTTTGTGTCATAAAATCAGACATTAATTATAAAAGCCTTTTTGTATTTCCCAATCTTTAAATGTGCGTCGGTGGCACAGCGGCTGGGACTCTGGCCGACTATGCACATGGTCCGGGTTTCTACGCAACGCACACCTGATATCAATGGTTGGCATGCTAAATTTTGGCTGCCGATATCAAATGGTGAAAATTCCGTACTTGTATAAAAAAATGCTGTGCGGAATCACGCTATAATTATAAAAAAAATTAGTATAGTAGTCCAAACGAAGCGATATCTTACTGCTTGCTTCACTGTGACTGGCATATTTCATACAAACTAAAAAGCTAAAGTCAAACTTGATTGACTGCTACTCATGAGTAAAGTTCTATTTTGAGCATACGATAGTTTTACTCATTTATGAGCTAGAATAGAGAGAGATTAGAGGAGGCGTGATTCATTGACGTAAACATTCGATTTTTAAGTCGGTGAGTCATAGTTACTTCGGTACGGCCAGTCCTTACACGTTAACTACGACTCGTATAGTCTGGTACATGAAAGATCTGTTCCAGGTGACACTGTGAATTTGCTAAATACACACTTCCATTGTAATTAATCGGAACTGTTGTTTTTCTATTATTATGATTATTATTATTATTACAGTTAACGTTTAGCATAAATTTGTTCTGTGTTTCCTATTCCAGCTAACACTGTATAGTGGTGTGGCTATACGCATATGATATGAATTCATAAAGTAAACTACATCTTGAAGCACACATATGTGCACACGCCCACGCCCGCACACACACACACTTGTGAAGAACTTTTTTCGTATATTTCTGAAGCAGCACAAATTCTACCATCGTGGCGTCGTCAACCTTACACACAGTCCTCCAGGAAGCTCCTTGATTTTTTTTCTAATTTTTATTTTCAACTTCCATCTAACAACCTATTAATTTGTTCTTTCTGTTTGTGTGTGCGTGTCGTATTTTTTTACACACTACAATGTCTTTGATGAGTGATTAATCTCTTACATTTGTGTAATTTATTATTACTACCAGTATTATTATTATTAATATTATTATTTCAGCGCTATACATTTTCGGGAATTTTATTTTTTAAATAATTACAGGGCAACCTGTTTGGTGCTGGTTGGTTGATCTGGTTTCTTAGGTGGTGTTTCAGTACTATTCTGTCTCTCTCTCTCTCTCTATAAATATATAAGTTTCCCTTCTCTGCTTAGGATAAAACAGATGAAAAGAAATAATAATAATAATTATTATTATTACTATTATAATTATCTGTGATTATATATATATGTAATATCTTATTTGTTTGAAGTAATATTTTCCTTTCTTTTTTCTTTGTCTTTCGTTTTCTTTGTTCACCGAAAATTGTCAGTATAGTAATTTGGGAAGTAAAAGCATTGTTCTGATTTATATTATATATATATAAAGCGAATTTCAGTATTGACTTGAGTGCTGAGATACTTAGAACCCCACAGATCAAGGCAGATGGGACTACAAATCCACAGCTGTTAACTTGAAGTGTGATCTACAAGACAGCAGAGTTGTTGCATTCTCATGGCTGCCGGTGACTAAAAGAGATCGGCACGCCAATCAAACACCTTCAGACTGTATAGTCTTATGTGTGCACCATAGGTTTGGAATCAGAGTTTTTCAACACCCCCATTAGGTGGAACCTTCTATGTCTACCAATTCACTGGAGGGGAAGATTGGAGTCCACCTCTCCTCGCTGAATAAAGGTATGGTTCACTGGTGTTTAAGCACTCGATTTTCAACCGATAGGTCACGGGTTTCAGTTGTGCTCAGTCTATTTTCAGTGTGGAAAACTGGGTAGTATCATCAGACGTTATACAATAAGTGTAGCTCTTACCCGGGCACATGAAAAATCTGTTCCGAGTCATTGAGTACAAACGCCTACTCGTGATCATACCATATCGTGTAAGGAAGCTGATCGACTGATTGAAAAACAATCCAATGGTATCATAGTCTGTTGTACAGTTAAACTTGACATTATTTACTGTATACGCTAACATCCAGTTGGTCGTTGAATACTAATAGGACTTCAGGTGAACATAGAGAAAACAGAGGTGATGAAGATTCCTCGCCAACAGCAGCAACAATCAGCAACCTCCTTTACCTACCCGGGGAGCATCGTTTCAACTACTACGGGTCAGAGACTTGGCGCGTCACAAGGGGCACTTTGAACAAACTACAGACCTTCATCAACAGCTGTCCTTGCTCAACATCAGATAGCCGACCAGAAAAGATCAGTCACAGGAATCTGAGCGAACCAACCCAGCAGGAACCAATTGTGCGACAAATATGTAGGAACAAACGAAACTGGATTGGCCATACTCTGAAAAAACAAACGATCAAGTGACATCACACGACAGGCCATCGCCCGAGTGGAACCTGAATGGGAAGCGGTGAGTTAGTTTGTCGTCAGTGGGAGGGTGACATGGAGGAGGTCATGTGAAGAGGAGATGGAAGCATGTGGGCAGACTTGGAGCCAAGTAAAAACGTTGGTGGAGAACAGAACGCAATGGAGACGTCCGGCTGAAGCCCTATGTTCCTCTAGAAACAAAAAGAAACAACAATAATAATAAGATTGTTATATGCTTCGCTCTCGACGACTAAATATATACCTTACACCTCAGACCTCCATGTTGTAAACAAAAAGATATCCACCTTCATACACGCTCCATGGATAATAAAAGAATTTACTTGCTTTAAATTGATGACTAAACCACTCATTGATTAGTCCTGTTGTATGCCTCAATGTTTGTATATACTAATGATTAATGTGGATAGTTGGGAATTACTCACATTACCACTTGATAGTGTTTTCTAATCACATCAAAGTGGTCTAAAAGCATCAAACACTTATTTTCAGTCAGTGGTGTATACCTTCACGCTTGTTTTCTTGACTGCCATTTATAGAATAATTTCGGTTTCAAAAATGAACTGTGATGAATTTCTACCTGGAATTGTGCAATTCGCGAGTTTGTTTCTATACTGTATAGATCTAATCTAATAGATTGTCAATGAGAAGATATACTCACCTGAAGAAAAATACGCCCTTCTCTACTATAGGGGATTTCCTGGAATTGAAGATAATTGAATGTGAGTAGAAATGAAACACTAGAGCTTGAAGGAACCGTATAGTAGAACAAATAATTTATTTCTATTATAATCTTTATTTTGAAATAAACTATGTGGCGTAAATTGATTTTCTTTTTAGCTCTAAACAAACAATCGGTTTATTAATTGTATTCCTGAAAAATAACTACGCATACTTCTCGGTCGATGCACTTCACATTACGTCACATATGTTGAAAGAGTTAATTAAATATTATCGATTGACTCAGCGCATAGTATTTTGACGAGTTGATTACGAATTAATATCAGTTAGAGAATCATTGAAAACCAGCCAGGGAGTACTGGACAGCTGTTTCATCTTAGTTTTAAGAATCATCGGCAGTACGCACCCACCTCCAGGGTTCGAACCGAAGACTTTCCGGTTACAAGACAAGCTCGTATACCATTCAGCCGTTGGGACCCGACTCAATGGCTATTAAGGTCCATCCAGTCAAGTGTGAGGATGGATGTCCCACCGATGAGATTGGTCGGTGGTCGCGGTAAATCACGAATTGGTACAAGTTAGAATTCATGGACTGGCCATTGAATGAGGTTGCAGTGGCTGAGTGGTCTATGCGCTTGCCTTGTAACCGGAAAGTCTTGGGTCCGAACCCTAGTGGTGAGTGCGTACTACCGATAACTCCCAGACTAGGACGAAACATCTGTCCAGTACTCGCTGGTTTTCAGTAGTTCTCCAACTGATATCAGTCCGTGATCAACTCGTCAAAATAAATCTAATCCTTGCAAACCAATGATTGAAAGGCATAGTATTTTGTTGTCTATGAAAACAAGTGGAATTTTATTCACAGTGTGTTGGTTCTTATTTCTCTTGGTTTACTTTCGGTAACGAGTGACGATCTGCTTAAAGCTTGGGTTACCAAAAGCTTTTATCTCTCCATTGCATATATTTTCTCTTGTTCGGTTTGTTTTAATCGATCAAGACATGATATCTACTCTTCTGTGTATTTAAAATGTTTACAAGCTTCTGATTCCGAAGTTCCAACTAAGCCTGATGAAAGGCTTGATTGTGTGGGTGGCAACGTGTTCCAATACATGAGATAATGACTGTTCTTCAGTTATGTCCTTGGGTCTCAAAATGTATTTCTTGACATCTCACAATCTGCTTTCAACTAGATATCGTTAATGTCGAGAAAGTACATTGTACTGATCAAGGCACTCTACTCGTACTCATGCAGCCAGGTGAGGGTTTACGGCGAGTTGTCATCTGAAGTGGTGTCCGTCAAGGATGCCCTTTATCCCCATTTCTATTCAATTTCATCATAGATGTACTAATGGATTTAACCCTAATTCACTTCAGCGACTCGGGGATTGACTTGCTCCCAGGGAATAATCTCGTTGACTTAGAATATGCAGACGATATAGTCCTTCTAGGCGAAGACGCTGACGAAATGCAGAGTCTTCTGAACACCTTGAGCCGCAATCTACGAATGTTTGGCATGCGATTCGTACCCGCCAAATGTAAGATGATGTTACAGGACTGGACTACACTGACTACTAGTTTAAAAATAGGAAGTGAAGTGGTAAAGCACGTTGACCGCTCCACTTATTTGGGAAGTACCATCAGCCAGTGTCAACGGGTTGATCTCTGACGAAATCTCAGCACGAATACAGGGGGCTCGTTTCGCATTTGCCAGTTTACGCCGACTCTGGCGTAGACGAGATGTTCGACTATCAACCAAAGGGCGGGTGTACTGCTCATCAGTCCGCTCCGTCCTCCTTTATGGTTGTGAGACCTGGCCATTGAGTGTGGAAGACATGAAAAGATTAGCTGGCTGTCTTTGATCATAGGTGCCTGCGTTCTGTCTCCCGCGTGAAGTGGTATAATAAGGTCAGCAATATTGAGGTTAGGCGTAGAGTGCTAGGTAGGTGGGAGGGGAAATCAATCGACGAGGCTGTGAAAATACATCTACTGAGATGGTTAGGACATGTGTTACGTATGCCTAACCATTGCCTTCATCGGGATTGGTAAGGTTGGAAAATAGTTAACTAGTGGTGGTCAAATCAAAACATGGCCTCATCAGTCAATGAAATCCACAACAGCTAGGGTAAGCCATTTAGGGTGATGAAGACTTCCTGGTTAGTATTCCCAGTATAAAACAGTAAAAACCAAAGACTGAAGACAATTGATGATATGGTTCAAAATTGTTCTCAATGGAAATGTATTCACTCTTTTCCTGATTTTTCATATCCAATAAAATTCTATTGTTCTTCCATTTAAATATTCTTTTTGCCTCACACTTCTGTATATTATCTCTCTTTACTCACTTCTCTTGCGTTGTGTGCTACATGAAGTGTAGCAACTCGAATAGCTGCACTTCTGTTCAAAGTTCTATGCTGAAACCAGTTATATACAAGCCAAGTAGGAACTTTGAAAATGTTCTCATCCATATGAAATACTACCATAAAAAAATCTGCAAATCTGTATACCTTCTTTCAGTGTCGCTAGACAAATTCTACAGCGACAGAGGGCAGTGTTAACAGACATAGGGTCAGGCTGTAAGGGAGCTAGTGGTGGTCAAACCAAAACATGGCCTCATCAGTCAATGGAATCCAAA